CGAAAGCACCAACCAAAACACGAACGAAGAAAAGCACAAAACGAGATCATCCAAATTGATTGAAAAAAAGAGGAGATTTGAGAGAGAGAGAGAGAGAGAGAGAGAGAGAGAGAGAGAGAGAGAGAGCGGGCTACGACACAGAGAATTGGCCCACGCAATCGCTTTGTCTAGATGAACAAAATGGCATCATTGTTGATTTTTAATTTCGTTTGTCGCTTGCAGCTATCGTCTGCGCTCACTGCGACAAAGAATTAGATGAACACCTACAAGCAATCAAAGATCACAATCGAATTAAATCGGATTTCCGATGCTACAATTCATTTGATCAGCATAACACCCAATTCCATTTTCCAAACAATTTCCAATTAAAACATTGCATAATTCCATTAAATCCAGGTAAAAAAAAACATTCAGCGATAACTTGAACTGCGCCATCGTTTCGAACAAATCAAGCACTGATAACAGCAACTATTTTGAATTCAGAAATATAGACGCAACTCAAACACGCACACCCAATAAACCGTTGATACACTTTCTGACACTCTTTACTTTCATTCCACTTGGAACTAAGTGAATGTTTTAAATTGTCTGTTACTTTGTTGTGCTGCGTCGAACCGAAAAAAATATAATAAAATGACGAAAGGAAAAAAAAGTGTACGCAAAAATGTGTAGGGTGCTTGGCAACAGGTTAACCAGATTCATGTACACACAATTTTGGTTTCGCTTGCGTGTCTACCTCTCCCGTTTTCGGCCAAAATGTTATGTATGTGTGTAATTTTTGCTACGCGCGTTGCGTTCAAATAAAATAAACACATTTGGTAACAGCTCGTTGAAGTAAAATATTGATAATGGCGCTAAGAAAACGGTGGCCGGATTAAAGAATGCGCAAATATTATGCGTTTGCCACAAAAGCGGTTCGGTGGTTCTTTTTTTCCCGTTTGTTTGCTCATTTCGTTCTTCTTATGGAGATAAAGATGCTGAAATGCAGCCAACAGACGCAGATTGAATGATATGCGACGTAATTTTGGTAGTTCAACAGACAGAGACACAACTTGCGTTACCTTCATATAGCCAAATCACGCATTCGCTTCGCAAACACACAAACACACGAAAGAAGAAAATCCAGTTTTTTCCTAAAACAACAACAACAATACATTTTTTCCATCCACATTCTGAACTCGAATCGAAATGTAAAAAGTCAAGCGATAAGCGAAAAGCATTATTTTCGGAACTTTGTCGTTTGCCGCTATAAATTCAACGACTCAAATTAGATTTCATGGAGTCGCCAGAGACAAAAAAAAACGACAGAAAGAGAGAGAGACGCACACTAACATTTGCATGAAGTGTATATGTGCGTGTGCTGTTTTTTTCTTCATCTCTCGCGCGCCCGGAATTTGAAGCAGATCACATTCGATGATAGTGCGTCGTGCGTGTGTATATGCTTGTGTCAAGGTCCATTTTATTCATGCACAAACTCCGAAGAATAAGTTTCTTTTCATCATGGAATTACCGAGTTCGATTAAAAAAACATGTTGTTGTATATTTCATTGGAATAAACGCATTAACATAACAAACAAACATTGCGAATGCAATTTTTTTTTCTCGCCACATTTCTATGGGTGAGATTGAGAGAAGTGTATGTTTTTTTTCGAATTTATATTTTTAAAAAGTCGAGTATGTTTTTCATTGACTTTGTTACGAAAGAGAAGAGTAAATTTCTTTCGACTTAAGAATAGTTAAAGTAGTGTATGTATTTTGACTGTTTGTGGCTATGATAAAGGCGAGTATGTTTCATAAACCTTAATTTGCGTTAAACAGAAGTATGTATTTTGTTAGTTTGGAATACCAAGGAGTATGTTTTTCTGACTTTGGTTGTTGTAAAAGGCGAGTATGTTTGTCCAAATTGGTGAATATTATTAATTTATTTGAATTTAAGTATTAGGCAAACATAATCAATAGAACTAATCATCTGTACATCTGGCGGCTTCCAATACTTCAATTTAACAGTGATGTCAGCAATACAAATCAATTGTTTTGATTTGCGTTGGTATTGGTTGTCGGTGTCAGCGTGTTTTGAACATTTGCTGTTCTGCGTGAGTGAAAGAGATTCTCTCACTCTCTCCGATGCGTTGCAATTTCGCAATGTTTGTTTGTTGTCACATTTCTTCTGTGTTATTTTCCATGCACTATCATTTCAGTGATATTGTTATTTCACTCTTATACATTGATTCGTATGCTGTTCGTTTATGCTAATGCGGTACAATAAGCAGAGCTCGATTACGTTCTTTCTTTAATGCTAACAGTTGTGAACTCCTGATACTCTTCGTCGAAAGAACTTAATATTTTTTAACCATTAATGCAAACATACTCTACTTTTTCGAAAACCAATGTGTTAAATTGAAGTATTGGGAGCCGCCAAATGTACAGATGATTAGTTCTATTGATTATGTTTGCCTAATACTTAAATTCAAATAAATTAATAATATTCACCAATTTGGACAAACATACTCGCCTTTTCCAACAACCAATATCAGAAAAGCATACTCCTGTTTATTGGTATTCCAAACTAACAAAATACATACTCTTGTTTAACGCAAATTAAGGTTTATAAAACATACTCGCCTTTATCATAGCCACAAACAGTCAAAATACATACACTACTTTAACTATTTTTAAGTGGAAAGAAACTTACTCTTCTCTTTCGTAACAAAGTTAATAAAAAACATACACTTCTCTCAATCTCACCCATAGATTTGTTTCTCGTAGCAGCGACGCGATGATACGATCACGTCATATGAACAATGATGATGATCATGCGTTATCGGTTTCGGCATATTCGTAGTGGGCAATTCTTCTTTTATCTGAATGCAACTGTGCGCATGTGCGTGAAAAGTTTCTGATTAAATTCGTTTTTTTTTTCTTTCTTTCTTCAACGAACAAAAAAGAAAACAACACAGAAATAATCCATTGAAGGAGAGCAACCATTTTAATATGTAATTTTTTGTTTGTTTACAGTGAATAGATAAAAAGACAAAACACTTCTCAGAATGAACTAAAGTGATTGCTGATTTAAAAAAAATATATATGTATGTAAAAGGCGCGAAACGGAGAAGAAGCAAAAGAAACGAAACGAAAATAAAAAAAAATAAACAAAACCCCTGCAATCGAAAGTGAATCGTAAAAATACCGTTGAACCAACAAGTGAATGAAATCTTCGACAAACCAATCGCTATTAAAAAATCTCGAGCACTGAGCGCACGAACGAGTGAATGTGTATGTGTTTTGTTTTATAAAAGCCTCCGAACGCACCCGCCCGCTCGCCCGAAGCCAATCAATTGAAATTGAGCTAAAAATACAATGTGCTCATAGTTACTTCAAACACCAAAACAAAAGTTGTAATTCTAATTGATTTCTAATCGTGAACCACGAAATAAGAGCACACAAAATTGGGAGCAAAGAGAATGCAGGCTGTCAAGTTAGGTGAGTTGTTAAAAAAAAACGCTAACGAAATTGCATTTTCTGCCCAAAATTCACGTAAATATTCATTTTATTGCGGCCAAACATTTTGCTTTTATTGACGTGAGCGTTCATACGCTCTCTCCTTCTCTTCCTCTCTCTCTCTCTCTCTTTTTCGCTCGCTTACTCGTTTACCGCGCTCAGCTCACATTCGCCGTCATTGCATCGGATTTGTTTATAAACACAACTGTTCACCATCACAGCCGATCTTAATAGGTCACACGCGTAATAATATCTAGGCGATAGATGTATGTTGTTTGTCACATTGTCGACTATTTATTACTATAACACTATCAATTTACAAATGTGTTGACTGGTTGTTTTCCAACAACTTCACACTTTTAATCAACCGTAGTATCACGAACAGAAAAAAAATCCAACACGAAACGTTCCAAGTCTCCCTTCCGTAACTTTCAAATTTTCCACCCATTAGTTATTAAACTAAAAATAATAGTAAACAGTCGAAACAGCGATTTATTTTTCGTTTTTTCTGTCGCGATATGCAATTGAATTTGAACTTGGGCTCATTTATCATCATCGTTGACGTCCGTTTGATCGTTAAAAATTCAATTGTTCATGCGAATTGCACAAGAATGTAATCGATCAAGCAAACGCAAAGAATGCATCGGAAATGGTGTCAAGTAATGTGGAGCTCACATAAGAAACAGAAAAACAACAACAGAAACACAACCGGCGCGTGATTATCACCCAAATGATGAGTGTATGTTTGTCTCGTAATGAATGGAAAATTGCTGGCACAAATCAATTTGCAGCCGATTCGGAATCGAACGTTAGCGTCAGTTGTGACGTACGACGCCTCACATATTATAAATTTTAATTTATTTTTATTAATTTTGCAATGGAAAGTTTCCCCCGTAGTAAGTCTTTGGCCTCATTTTCTTTTGTGCGCGTTCACTCTCTTTCTCTCTCTCTACCTCTCGGTTTCCATCTCTTTATTTTTCTCTCTGTCTGCCCAGACGTGTGCAAGGTCAAAAATTCTAGAGGGGGGGGG